AAATTTAACGTACTTAGTCCAACAACTCTCGATTATGGCTGCAACTTGAGGATTCAGATTCCGCGGGATCTCAAGCCGTTTACCCTTGAAACCAACCGCAGCTACAACCTATGGAGCATTTTTCATTTAATGACCATACATTGTTGTGATTGAGCAGATGCAAAATAGATTGTTATTATTATCGAGATGTTTTAGAGTGGTAAGTACCTGAGCCGGATTCAAATTACCCCATGGTTGTTGCAATGTAGCAAGTTCCCACAAGATGACCCCGAAGCTGTACACGTCTGATTTCTCATTAGATTGCTCATCCCGCAGGACCTCTGGTGCCATCCACTCAGGCTGATACGTAAATCAAAGTCAATAGTTTATTCATTTTCTTCTGAACAAATAGTTAATAGGACCCAAAAAAGAGTTGAGTTGTTCAGCTTGTTTTAGCTTCAAACAAACTGAACTTACCGTTCCAGCTGCTGACTTCGATGAAAGAAATGTGCTGGCCTTTAACCGCGAGAGACCAAAATCACAAACCTGAAGTTTCAAAACAATTCGAGGACTTAGAAGAGATATCTTGTATTGCAAGAGTGATGATTTTTAAGACCATACTTGAGCTGATGTCTAACACCTTTTTGCAATGTCCCCAAAATGATTTAACATAAAAAATAAATTATAAGCTGATCTCGTAAGAAGTACTATGATATATACTAAAAAACCAAAATAGAGACATTGGACAAAACAATTTTGCAATTCAGATTCAAACCTTGACTGTGTATTTTTTGTCGACCAACAAGTTTGGAGATTTTAGATCTCTATGTACAATCGGAGGATTGCGATTATGAAGATAATTCATTCCTTTAGCCTGCAACAGAGAGATGGCAAAAAAAAAATCAATAAGAAGATACATCAAGATCACAAAGTAATCAACTCAATTTGCACCAATACAGGTCTGTTAAAGGAAAGAGATCAAACATACCACATCATATGCCATACTCAAGCGCCGTCGCTCATCCAATTGCTCCCTAGCTCCACTTTTATGCAAAAGTCTGTATAAACTACCTCTGTTCAAAAGAACACATTGTTTCAGCAATAGAATATGCTAAAATACACTCAGCACATCAAAACTTCAAAATCCAAGCAAACCATACCTTGATAAATATTCTGTCACTATTGACAAATTTGGAGGTTGAGTGACAGCGCCCATGAAAAGAACAATGTTAGGGTGACGAAGGCGTTTCATAATTGCAACCTAACAGTGAATCAAGTTCATGAAGGGCATTAATACATAAATTTCATTACCAAAAACACGAATAAAAGTCAGTTGTGCACCTCTCTCAAGAATTCATTGACACGCTCAGCATGGAAATCTTGCTCCATAAGAATTTTCACAGCAACATCCTGAAATTGGTAGAGAATAATTTTGCAATACTCAAATTTAGAATTTTTCCCGTGATACCAATGGAAGATTCAAACAGGACGACAAATCTATGATATAAAGATAAAAATCGAATTTTGGAACACCTTTTCGTTGAAGTGTAAGATTTAAAATCTGTCAGAATGGATATATTGAATAGTTTGCCTCTTTTAACATCCAACAGATCCAAATATCACAAGTCAAAACCATACTTCTATAGCGAAATTCAGAAAAAGAAAAAAAGTTCTTACCGAGCCATGCCACTCAGCACGGTGGACAGTGCCAAAGGAACCTGAAAGAGCAGCAGTTATATAAGTGGACAGATTAAGATAATCCAGAACTCTCAGACCAGAAAGTAATCACTAAATTGGCAGCTCTTTTTCTTATTTTGTTTGAGAACAGATCCCAAAGCAAAACCACTTACTTCGCTCATAAACTGAATCATTTTTTTTGGGTCAAATTAATACCTGCTCCAATCCTCTCTTTTATATTAAGATCACACCATGAGATGTCCATATCATCACCATCAAGTCCGAGATCCCTATTTGCCCTAACCGGCTGATTGATTGGTGGGGCATTTATAGGTACTGCTTCTTGGACTTGATTTGGCGCACGCATCATGTTTTGTGGAGGCATATTAGCGCTGGGTGGCAAAGACCCACCACCATTTTCTGCCAAAACGTCATTCTCTCCACCCCTATGAAACATTGAGAATCCTATATCATCTACAACCATTCAAACAAGTCGATGTAAGAAATCAGAGTCCAGAAGACAAGTCTTTCACGTAAATGCATCAGAAATGATTTCCTTGAGCAGCAGGCCCACAAGTTTAAACTTAATTACCACTAGCCAATCCAATTCCAAAGCAAAGTACCCATCAACACGAACGCCCACATCCACAACCAAAAACATGA